TTTGAGTATTTTATGTCTATGCTCGAAATTTGTATTCGTTTGGACTTTCCTATGTTAGTAATAATAATAACCTTTATTTTTACATACAACGTAACAAAAAAAATGGATAAAAAATATATATATACAAAATCATTACATTTTGATTTTCCTGTGTAAAATCAATATTTATTGCAATAGAGCATTCAAAATTTATTCATTTGTGCATCACTAAAGTGGGTGTTATAAATTTAAAAATTAATAAAGGAGGAAATCTGCTGGTTGAGCGACAGTGGAAGATTCAGGAATTTTCTCAGGGGGGGGGGCGCACATCTATACCAATGCTTCCCCCAACCATACCAATTTTCCATCACTATCCATCTCCCCATACCCCTACCCATCTCCCTCGCCTCCTCCACCGTCCTAGAATACTTAAAACAGCCGGAGAACCCGTGGAAAAAGATCGACATTGTTTGCAGAAAGCTTTTAAAGCATCTTTTTTAATATTTATAACATTTATATTTATAAAATGAAAGTCTGCCAATCGGATCATGCTACCTCTAAAAAGGACTGATTTAAAGAATATTTTGGGCCCAAAACGGGAAATTCATTCCGAGAAATGTGGGAAACGTTTTTATTTTTTTTACTTGTATATATGGGTTTAGATATGTAAAAAACAACATCACTAACACGGGATGTTGTTTGGACTAACACGGGATGGAAAAAGAAACCAAGGGAAAACTATTTACAGCCAAAAAAGCCAGATTTTTTCAATCTTTTTTTGTTTTTTATCTATCACTACTAAAGATATTTCTATAAATATTCCTTTCAAAAATATATAATCGTATACTTTAATAGATAATCAATCCAAGCTGTGCGTTATCAGTTCCTACGTTACAGGGATACTAGCTATAAGTGAATAGAAGCTTCCAAAATGCATGCAGCAACCAAGATTCAGCGATATCTGATCGATAACAATGCTGATCCGAACACCATCTTTGAAATAGATATTCATGTAATTCCCATTAACGCTCTGAGATAGTTTGCCAAAAAGTATTGTGATCATCATCACCACATTTGTGAAAGAGTGTTATCCTGATTTCTTTCTCATAAATCGTTTATTCCGTAAGTTGATTTTCAACCGCACTTGTGTCAATTTTGAAAATATAGACAAGAATACAGACAAATTTGAAAAAATAGATGTGAAACTTTTTCGCGTAATTATATGCCTCTTAATGTAGCTATTTTAATTAATATTTCGTTATTTTATTTCGTGGAAAAATTGTATATTATCGTAAATATGTTTTCACTAGCATCAACATTTAAATCACTAGAGAATATACATACACGGACATACCCGAAAGAATTGATCTTTATGTCCGATTTCCATATAAAATACCAATGTACACTTTTGTTGGCCATAAATGCTATTAAATTTCATTAAATACTTAAAAAGGACATTCCTATTTGAATATCGAAACGATGTTTTAGCGAAAATATTGCCTAGTGGCCAAGGAAATTTATATTCTTTACCTCTTCGTCGGTTTGGAAAGCCCTTTTGAATCTATAATAATGATAAATGTTAACCACCAAAACCAATTAGTTGTGAATTGAATAAAAAATAAATAATGGTTTTGTGTCAAAAATGAAACAATTTATTTAAAAAATAAACATGACAAAATGACGAAACTTGTGGGTAAATCTCAAGCCTGCAACCTCAAAAATAACAAAACACGTACCTTTCATTACTTTTAAAAGTTTTAATGATTCGTTATGCACACCAATGAATAATTATTGCTAAATGACATAAATAAAAGCAACAAGAAGGAAATAATCGTTGATGGATGAAAGGGAGGGACGACTACATAAGAGTAGGAGAGCATAATTTAAATGATTTGTTGAAATTGAACATAAAATCGGTATGGGTGTATAAAAATGTACTATGGGTTACTATGTGTCGCTTCTGAAATAATATATATATCCGATACGACATAAATGGGAATTTATTGTTTATATATTTTTGTATATTTCAATTAATAAATTTCCCTAATAATGAAAATCGGACGTAAAAAGCTATAAATCGTATTTAGTAGAAAGGTTCCTTTGAAAAGTTTTGTCAGCATAGATTGGTGTTCATCGGCCAACAAAACTCGTATACTTCAAAACGTTTTCTTATCTTACTTACATTAAATAGAGTAGTAAGGTATCCCCTCCCAACCCTTGCAGATAAAAAGGAGCAACCCCTATTCTAACCTCTAAGATCGTTTTTATCAACGTGAGTGGATTGATGACATGTATTGGGTTTGCTTTGACCGCAACAACTTCTTTTCAGTATCCATTAAGAAAGAGTACACAATATCTGATTGATACAATCTTACCTATCCCTACTCTTTCCAACTCTTCTGTATTTGTTTCTATTTTTATTTATTTCTTTTGCATTATTTTACTTCATAATTTGATCATCTCGTATCGTATTATCTCCTTTACTAAATTTGATAAGAGTTGGCATTTTTAAACTCGATGATACAAAAATAAATGAGAACATATTAAACGTCATATTTTTTTTTCCATTGGATCAATTTTTACTAAGAAAAAAAGAAATGTTTAAAAGATTTATAATGGATTTCATTTAAACCCCCTTCAATGATTTCTGTTTCACAAGATTATCTTCTTATCCTATGGCAGAGAGATGCGTTTTAAATGCTAATATGCAACGCTGATTATAAAACGTTGTGTAATTTTCATCAAAGCGCTAGGCTTAAGAGATAGATATATGATATGAATCTGTATAGAGAGGATTATCATAGAGATCTGAAGCCCAGAGAATATATATTTTCACAATCTAAGCATTATCATGAAAACAATTTTGATGATTAAGAAAACAAACCTGTACCACTACAACCCATGAAGGGTATTGGGTCCAGTACTATTTAGGGAAAGCACTATTTCTAATTCAACGGTTGTGTAAGGAGGTGATTTGACTGAGATCACGCTCAACCGCCAGGTTTTCCACCTTAATTAATTATTTAATTAAGGGTACCCACTTTAAAGAGGCGGGGTGTGCGCCAGGAGGGTCTCCCGATCCAGGGTCACCCCGCGGCCAATGAAACAGGTAAATAAATTTTCTGCCATGAGTCGGGGTTCGAACCTGGGACCTTCAGCATTGGAAGCTCAGTACCCTACCACTGAGCTACCCCACTCCCTACATTGTTAATTAAGAAGTTAGTAAAAATCCATATAAAATATGCGTTAAAAGTATGATGGAAAAATAGTTGAAAATTAATTAAAACTAATTAAACTATTGAGCAGTTTTAAACGCAGCATGGCAAGGACAGCGTAGAAGTCGTCCTTATGAGACTGTGTCCTTACGGTCATAGAAGACTTACTCACCATCCGTCTTACAACAAAAAGAATCATTCACAGTTGTCAAAATATTGATAATAACCAATAATTTTGAAGAATGTACGCTTTTTATCATAAGGTTGAAAGAGTTCTATTTTTTTTTTTTTTTTAAGTTTCGAAAATTTCGAATACTCCTCAATATATTCGCATTGCGAAACAAGAAGGAAAAGTGACTAAAGTTATCATCTCTTTATAAAATAAATTTAATTAATCTACAGCAAATGATCCTCTACGTATCCTTTATATGTAGCAAGCTTGGATGAAAAGAAAGCAAGTTCGTTCAGGTAGGTATACCATCATGTTACTATTTCTTAATCAATATTACTTGTTCAAACATAGCTATATAGTAATGATAATGATTATTTTTTAAATATGTGATCAAGTAGATCCTTTTTTATTGAATAAACGTTGTCATTTTATTATGTCATTTTTTAAAGATTAAACAACCTATAAAAAATTCCCAAAGTATAAATACTTTGTCTCTAAAGCATATTAAATAAAAAGTTGCTTATTCATCGAAGTAATGTGTCTCGACTTCATGTGGCTGATGTCCAGAAATCTATAAAGATCAGGCTGTTACACAAAATAAACTTTGGCAATATTATACAATATATAATGTTCACTAAACATTTCTAGATATTTTAAAAATTCAAGCACTAATAAATACTACAACATGCAAGCTGCTCTACATGATCTACTAAAATTAGCTACAGCCCAACCCTTCAATACTATAAATAATTGTAAATCTACTGTTCAAATATCGAGTGCGGTAGCATGTTTCGATTAGTAAAGAATGAAAGCGTTTCTACAAAGAGCTACAATGTTTGAAAGAGAAACGTTTCAAGAAGTTTGTTATGTTGTTTGTTTGTGTTGTTCTGATTCCTGTATTGAGTGTTCTAATTTTAAAAAGAAGGGAACTTTCGAACGTCTTACGTTTAAATATTGATTCCAGAACCACCTTAATTGTTATAAACCTATCAAATCAAAAATATATCGTAAAAGAAATTTTATTAAATTTTTAAAATAATTTTAATTCACTTGATGTTTAACTTGACTAGAATAGATTAATAGTTATAAGTAAAAATCGGATAAGTCGATCCGCAGATATTTGAAAATTTTTGAAGTGGTAGGAGAGAGAGGAGAGAGGACATTCGGCTTTTTTTATAAATTTGAAAACATCTACAGCTACCTACAATTATTAAATACAAAATGAAAGATATTAAGTTTTAAGTAAAAAGTGCTGATTAAACTTGCTTCAATGTTCAAAAAAACGTTTTTTTTCTACGATATCAATTATCAAGTATGTACGACTAATTAAGTTAATTCTTTTTTTTCTCTGGTTTTAAAATATATTTATATGTAGTTATGGAATCCACAATTAAACGTGAGCGTTGGTTCCCACTATAGGTCAAGGTAAATAAAGTCCAAGTCGTCTTGACAAATAAATAAATTAATATATTTTGTACAATGCGCCAACTCACAGAGCCGAACACTGACTAATAAATAAATAGTATAGACAAATAAATAAGTTTATGTACACAAAGAAGAGAAGAAATAAAGATAGGTGGGGTCAGTTTTTGGTGGAATGAGGGTGGACTTTAGTCGATGCTAGCTGGACTCACGTGCTTGTTTAGCCTCGATATCTCCCACCAGATCGTCATCGTCGTCATCATCATCTTCTTCCTCTTCATCTTCGTCGTCGTCATCTGCTTCATCGTCTTCCTCGTCCCCAGTTCCAATGGAATTGGCGGCCTCGTCCTGAAAGCAATGGAAATGGTAAATATAGTATGATCGCCGACTGCTAAATTCATAGTATGATTAAGGCATTTACTTCTAAACCAGCTTATTTTTTTATTTGTTCGTTTTTTAACCGAGATAATTAAAATATATCTGTTTGGTCAATATTTGATCCTAAAATCCCATGAAATGCGTTGTTTTTTTTAAGTGATGTGTGAAGAACAATGTAATAACATTTTATGAAATAGGTGAATTGATTAAGCTTTTAATCACATCAATTTGAGGAGGTACAGACAAAATTTCAAATTGCTTCTATAACGTGGAAAAATATACAGGATATAGATAATAATAAAAATAATATACATACTATAGAATCTATTTCACGGGTAGGTTTTGTGAAAGTAACCAAAATCTAAAATTAAAAAAATAAAACAACTAAAAAAAAAATGATGAAATATCAAACGAAGCATCAACGATGACAATTATTTAAGTAACTATACTTTTTTTACACAAGTAATTTGCGAAAAATAGGAATGAGCTATAGTAACTGGCAATACAACAAAGGTTTGATACATTTCCTTCTACATTAGCTGAATAAAACAAAACCATGTAAACTATCTAGGACTAACGTTTGATACAATACTGATTTGTGGCCTACAAATAAAGATTAAAGGAAATACGTTTAAATAAATAAATTTAATATTAAAGTACATTCTTAGACGTACATGGTAATCTAAATTAACACAGGAATAAATAGAGAATCTACAGCCACTTTGTTCTTACGATCTCAAATTTTCTCTACTACAAAAACACACATTAACGTTGAATCCGAACTGTCCAACCAAACTTATCAAAAAAGTACCTTGGTTTGTTTTCTAGCGAAATTTTTCTACATTAAGTTATTTTTTTTTCATTAAAAAAGTCCTACCGTATAGAAAGTTAGATAATTTAATATAACTTGTCCTTTATTTTATTTCAAAATGTATGAAAAAGACACATATAAGTCATAATCTGCAAAAAACTGAATATTTATGTTTAATTAACTTCAAGACATATCAAAATTTTCTTTAGATCATGAATATTTGATTTGTAAATAAATATCATTATTACTTTCATATTATATTGTTCTATAGGAAAGATGAACAATAAACTTTGGAATAATGATATTTTTTAAAAACAAAGTAAAAACAGGAAAAAATATGGACAAAAATTCTCAAGGATGAGATTGGCAAGAAAAAAAATAAAAACCACGTCAAAAAAAAAAGAGAGGATCCTTCTGAAACATCGTATAAATCAAGATAAAAACAAATAATGTAAGGATGTTTGAAGAATTTATAAAAAGTTTTGGTAAAGAATATAACTGAAATCTATAAAACAGATCAGATAATAATAAAAAATAAGGATAAGTTAAATAATAAAAAACAAAATTGTTGAATGTGTCATTAATCGCTGCATTTACACCAAAGAATCGAAAATAAAACTGAGTCATTATTAAAAAACAAATGAAAAATTTAATCAAACGATTTGGCAAACTCTTCGTGGCAAATTTCTAGCGCCCTCTTTCAAATTGTGTTCTCGTAACGTTAACGTCTAATTAACAGCGGGTAATGTGCACTCAAGGGAAATATACTCAACTAACAAGGGAGGATTACGAAAGTGAGGTCACCAATTTCAATTAAAATTTTTTTGGTGATACTAGATAAAAAAATTGCATTATTTTTTTATTACTGTCTTTATATTTTGCTCTGGATTTCTAAGTTATTATATATCAACCGATTTGTTTTGTATAAAACAAGAAAAAAAATTGAAAATTGTTTTAAATGAATTATAACGTATAATAAATTACAAAAAACACTTCCAGTAAAGTTGGCCAAGTAAATATTTGTCATATTTAGATTTGTATTAATTTCCTTTAAAACTCTTTAATTTTCTGGTAGGATTCTTTTTTCATACCCCTTACGAAAATATTCATAGCTCCTCAGGATTTTCTCCTAGGTCAACGTTAACAAAACCGTTTAAAGCCAAATTATTGCTTTTCAAATTATTTAGTTCTAAATTTTATATATTTATATGGAATAAATAAAGAAAACGTCTCTCCAAATGTTTCTATTTTAAAGCACATAAAATCTAAAATTTATTGATATAGTTTTGAAAGGCAATGATTTAGCTTTCCAACGATTGTCGTAACGTTAACTGAGGTGAAAATTCTGAGCAGTTATAATGTTTTTGTAAACAGCATGAAAAAAAAAAAATCTCATAGTCTCTCCATCAAGCTCAAAAATTTATATATATTTTTTAAAACGAATTCGTATTTAACAGTTTTAAAGGACAATTTAAGTTTAAAAACCAATCTGAATCGTTTTTTTTTTTTTTTTTCATTTCAAATATTTACTTAGCCTACTTTATTAAAAGCGTCTTTTGGTTTTTGTAATTTATTATACGAATTCGTTCAATGCCCTTTGCAATATATCTTTCTTATTTTGCACACTAACAAATATATATATACAAAAACTTAGAAATCCATAGAGAGCATAATCCTAAAACAGTAATATAAAAAAATAATAAAATTTGATGGAATAAATTAGTTCAGCTCCTTGGGCGCATTGACAATAACCTTCGGCTATTGGTCTAATATTTTTCTATCTAACATCACCAAAAAAAATCAGTGATCCCACGTATGTAATCTCCCTTTGTAGGATTACCTTAATAAACCGACCCAAGTTCACGCACCATCCTTATTCGGTAATTAAAGAAATGTTTTTAAATTTTTACTTGTTCATTGATAAATATTACAATCTGTCCCAATTAAGTGTACTTATAATAGAGTTCAGAGAGCTCATTAACACCATATTTACAGAATCATAAATAAATAAGGTAATGACAAAATAATATAGAGCGAAATAAGAACAAAATGAAATATCATAATGAGGGAAGAAAAAATAATAATAATAATTATAAAATATAAATAAATAAAATTTGTGTAAAATAGAATGTTCTTTAAAAAAATAAAATAAACATCTTAGACGCAGGAATACCTATTTACACTATTTACAATCAGCTAGGAGAACTCCAAACCATACTTGTCTCTCCAGATTTCAAGGGAAAAGGGAGGCTTCAGGAGCAGTCTGAGTAAGGGCGCTACAGCCACAGACATTCATGACTTGATTGGAGAATCTGGCCATTGTCATTATATTACATATATAATCTATTATATGCACGTTACAAAAGGTCACGAGGTCAGTTTTAACCTGCGAGGAAGATTGTAGGGATGGGTGGTGCTAGATAGGGACTGTGCTAGATAGGGATTTGGGTGATGAGTAAAGTTCTGATAAAATTTGTCTGGGATAAGATCAAGAATAAATGGAATATTTAGATCATTATGCATGGTTTTATTGATTACCTAGAAGGGACGATCAAATTTTGTACGGAGGAGTTTAGACGAGAAGAATTGAATGCGTTTGAAGTTAGAAAAACAGAAATTACGACGAAGAGTGATGGTAATATGTTTACATTTGGATTCATTGAATTTGATGCGCAATATCTTGCACCAGTGTTCAATCAGGGAGAGGTACCTTTACAGGTTTATGGACAATATAAGAAATTAAAAAAGCAGTGTGTGCTAGTTTTCTGCTGTATTGTTTTGTTACGCAGCCAAGTGAAACACTGCACCATTGCGCACGGGTAGGGTGGGCGGTCCAGTGCAACATTCAATTGAAATGAGATCGCTCATCTCATCTGTGTGTTTTGCAATGAAGATTGTAGTGCAAATTTTATTTTGTTAATTACTACGTTCACTAAGAATAAAAGCAAAACTATTGAATTATTTCATACCCGGATCATCAGGTGTATAATGAAACTTAATGATTTAAGAGTTTAGATTTGTAAATTGAATAGAGTGGTCGAAGTCACCTGGTCGTTGGTGGTGAGCACAACGGTGTTGGTCGACTCTGTCTCCAGAGGTTCCTCCTCGGCGGGGGCAGTGCCATAGTCTTGACCGCTCTCCTCGACGCTGGCGGCGGCTAGGCCTTGGGGGGTGGAAGGTTGCGGGGGGGCGGCGGTCGGGGCCACTGTGGGGGCGGCTGCCACGATAGCCGGTGCCGGGGCGGCAACCTCTTCGTCGTCATCGTCGTCGTCGTCGTCGTCATCGTCTGAAACACAATTTATTTTTGTATAATTTTGTTTTTAGGTAAAGCTGAAACTGATTCATTATTCATATTAGAAATCAAATATATTTATTTTCTTTAACTCATTGAAAATATTTTACTGTATAGTGAAATGTGCTACCTATAAATGTACTATCTATAAATAAATTGATTAAAATGACAATGACTTTAAAATGCAACTATCGGTTGAACTGTAATGAATATTATACATTAAAAGATCTCATAGGCATCTATTTTTAACATATTTCTGAAAACTAGATTCGAATAGGTTACAAATTATTTGAATTATGTTGGTATAGAGTTTTTCCAATCTGCTTCATTTAGTCTACTAAAGTCATATTTGTACCCCGGCATGTTATTTTTAGTGACTTAAATTACTTCCAAAATTCGTAAAGAAGTTATGCCGTTGTTTGAGTTTTTTGGGAAAAAATAATTATATATATATATACTTAGGCGAAACAAGACATTGAAAGAACATCGATAAAGAACTAATAAAATAAAAAAATAGTATAAATGATAATACTTCAACCGATAAAATTAATAACTCCCAGAAGATTAACCTACCGCAGCATAATCGTAGATTATTGATAGGAAACATAGAGACAGGGCTGTATGGAACAGGAAAATTATCTAACTAAAAAAACGTAATACACTAAATTGGCTGTTAAACTAAACGAAGAAGAATTTAGAAAATTCAAAATCCACGTTACTGAAAATGTTATAAATATAGATGAATCGTTATCTAGAACCACTATATAAAGTATATCGAGTTCAAATATTATAATTATCCACTTTTTAATGAATTCGAAACCTAATTAAGATCGGTCAGAGCAGAATCATAAATATTCGGTGTGTACCTCTTCGAAACGTTTAATACGAATTCTGTTATCGTGAATCCCATGCATTGAAGCAAATCTAAATATTCTACTCTATAACCGTAAAAAATAAGTACTAAAATAATCAGCAAATGATCAAATACTGTTTACACTTCAATAACATTCAGTCATTAAGCGCATTGGAACTGCCGAATGATAAGGTGTATTGTTGCCCAAAATCTTTCTTGGTCTTGAACAATGCAAGACCAATGATTTCCAGAAGAGGCTTTCATGGCGCAAGTTGCGCCATCAAAATTTTTTATAGCGGCATATTTCGAAAGAGTTATGAATTTTCGAACTAAGGGACAAGGGAAAAAACATGGAACATGCCGCAGCATGTATAATTGTATATGATCTAAGATTTTTCTAATTCTATCTTAGCTTGCTCCGTTTTTAAGAAAAGGTGAGAAAAGGTAAAATATTTTGGGAGGAAGGAGGCGGTAGGTTTTTGTGCCATCAAGCTTGGTTCAGAGAGGGGATGGGCTGACCAAGACAGAGACCGCCTAATTGTTGCAAGACAAATACCAAGACTGGTAAAAACAAAAAAAAAACTAAGGTATGTGCTTTAGACCACACAATAGAAGTGAAAATATTAAAAAGGCGATATTAATAATCTGAAATAGAAATTATAAATAATAGCTCATTATAAAGAAGATGAAATTCTAAACATTTCCCTCGCTTACAGTATACAGGTTCGATTTTTAGTTTATGAGATATTTTAGTCCATATCTTCCATAAAACTCGTTATCATTTCATTTCCGAAACTATTTTTCCCATTTCACCTCTCTAGCCCGGCGTCGCGTTAAGATACAATTTTAAATAATACAGAGAGGATGGAATGCTGAACAATTCCATCGCTTACAGTATGCAGGCCCGATTTTAATTTTCTCAGATATTTTAATCCATGTGCAAAAACAATTCAATTAGTCGACTCCAGCTGATTCTGCCCGAGCTTTACATATCGGAGATCTTAAGGCTCAATTTAATTCACTCTCCGAAAAAAAAGTGCAAAACGTGCCTAAAGAAGTTTTCACTTAAAAAAAAAAATTAAAAAAAAAAAGAAATTTTGAAAATAATAATTAACGCACTGATACTAGACAATTTCAATTATATACATATGTAAAGATTTCTTGGTATGTAAGTGATGTATATGTAATGGAATTGGTAGAACCAATACACTTTTACATTTAACTCTTCCATTTTTTCATTCGGGTTTTAGTTAGGTTTCCCCATTCTAAAAATGATAGTAATATCTCTATCGTAGTATATAGTGGTAACTATTTTCAAGAAGGTTATCACATTTTCGACAAAACTATAAAAAGTAGTCTAAATCGGATCAGTTTTAGCAACGTTACAGTGTATTGAAATTTATACACGGATGATAATAATTGTTTACATGCCCGTTTACATTGCTTTAGTTGAGCAAAAAAATCGTACCCTAATGATTTCTCTGATCGATTATCAGGAAAATTGGTCTAATTCAATTGTATTATTTTTAATGAACGTGATTATAATTGAAAAACACCAGATTATTCATTTAAATAATTGGTGACATTGTATAGATTGTCTTTGTTCTACAACTCTTCCGTTCCAAGATGGTTTCCCGCCAATCACTATCTTTCTTGGCAATGCCTTTAATGTACTGTCAAGTTAATTTTATTAATTTGGTTGGATTTTATTAAGTTTATATCGATAAAACATCTAAATGTACTTATTCGGTAGCGTTTTTCTAAAATCTAAAGTAACATGTCTACTAAATAGCAATAATCTAGTAGGTAACTGCCATACTCTACATTATTAACATTTAGGCAATACTAATATTATAATATATATTATATTATAACGGATCGGAGACAAAAATAAAAAATCTGGTGCGCGTAACACACAATTTTTACTTATCGCTCTACTTGTAATAGAAAATATTTTCTGGCAATCTTGGGCTGTCATAAAATTTTTGAAGTGCATTTCAAACGGAACTAAAGCTAGAAGCTTACATATAACAAATCATTAAGATCATTAAAATTACAAAAAGACTATTTATTACATCGTCGGTAGGCAATTATAATCTGGTGTGCGCAACACACAACTTCCACATACCGCTTAAGTTTGAATAGAAATTGTTTTCTGGCCATATTGGGCTATTATAAAATTTTTAATTGCATTTGTAACTGAGCTAAGACTAAAGCTAAAAGATAACCTCTAAAAAATCATAAACACCATTAAAATAAGAAAAGTTGTATTTATTATATCATCGGTTGATTATGGATTGTACGATCCGTTGATTATGGATTTTACAACTATTAGTTATTAAACTCTTATTTTCCAATCCATAGTTCACTAAAACGGAATTAAGAGACTTGCATTGTCTGTCATATACAAACCAAAAGTTGTCACGCTAATTGTAAGAAGATACTGTTTACAGAATATCACAAAAGGAAATTTCATCAAACTATTCACTTATTTAATTTTCTAAAAGGTTAAATGATGATTTTTCGGAATAAATGGACGATAGATTCCTAAATATTTAAATATAATATCAGATCTAGAGTTATTAAACTACAGTAAATATATTTAAGGTAATAAACGTATCTATGAAATATTTTTATATTTCACTTCTTCTGTCACACAAGTACAATGAAATAGTAGTGGACACTATTGGAATATCAGAAAGGGAAGACGTTTAAAATACTATTTCATTGTACCTGTGTGAAAGAAAAAATGAAATATAGAAATATTTCATGAATATGTTTTTAACCTTCAATACATTTACTGTAGATTAATAACTCTAGATATGATATTATATTTAAATAATTATATATCTATTTTTATTTTGGTTTCCCCTTCCTTGCCTATTAGGCTCCAGGGATTTATATCATGTTTGTCATATAGCTATCTTAAATAAGTAATATCAGTTTCGTACGACTTTTCGTTTTTGATCTTGACTGTTCACATGCACAGGGACCATTTTGCAGGACTTGGTTATTTGGACTCAGGGGGACCTCAAAACGTGTATTTCTGTTTAAATCTCAGATTCGAAAATTTTCACGATCGCAATACTTTTCCTCACTGTATATTACATATATATAGTAAGACGCGGCGGGGTGACCGAGAGGGCTACAGCGTAAGGACAATACCATACGTTGCACGGCAACCTGATTACCGAGATTTGAGATAAACAGATAATTAAGAGGTCAAATCCCCGTGTCCGGAGGAAGTGAAAGTGAACATATGAATAACTACGATTCAATTGAGAATCAACTGTATTCCTTCTTACAGTAACCTCATTAGGAAGTTCGGAAAGTTTTGGTTTCCCAATTCCTAATGTTGGGCACAAAGAAGGTTACGATGCAGTGGATCCCAACACGAAAGAAACATATCTTAATCAAAATCTAACCAGAATACTCTGCTTATGTCAGTTTACTTCTCAGACTTTTCCGTCTGAAAAGTAAGTATAATTTGACTTAAGATCTACATCTAGAATATATCTAGAAGAAAAGGAGACCAAGCCTCAAGAACGGGGTTGACTCAGATTCTGGGATCGTGGAAAGCTGTCTTTACATTTTTACGCCCCTGAAATTAATAGACGACTGATAAGTTCTTATCTAGAAATTTCTCATTTCTAACTACAGTTCAGGTTCTATTAAAACAGTTCATCAGCAATGGATGGAAACGCAAAGGAATATCTTAATAGGTATAACTCGCAAACATAACAACTGCAATCGCGCAGAATCATCGAAGTTCTTTTATGTGTTAAATTTAAAACTGTAAGAATAGAGAATTATCTTAAACCTAAATTAACAATTACATTATCATTTGGTAAATAATGTAAGGACCAATGTTCCTGTCTGGATGTATAGGAATTATTTCATATGTTTTATTCTTAACAAATCAAAAAAGAAAAATGTATATAAAGAAAAATAGCACAAAACTGATGAAAATACCTAGCGAAATTAAAAAAAAAAATTATAGTACAAAATTGTAAAATAGATTATAAAAGCGCTTATGATTTTGTATTTTAAATCTACAACCCAAGATAGTATAGATCTGTAGATAATGGCTTCTCATAAATAAGGGGGAAATTCTCCAAATTTCCGAGCTAAAGCTATGAAG